GTCAGGATCTCGGTCCGATGTTAATAACTATCGGGGCGTGCACAAAACGCCGTCTCTAGCAAAACTTCTTGAAAGGATTATTTTCAATGAAATTCTTGACTTCTGTCTAGCTAATCGGCTTCTGAGCTCTAGTCAGCATGGAGTTTTAGATAGATAGATAGATAATTTTTATTAAAGACCCGTCGGGGTCCCATGAAATCAGGTTAAAATAAATTTGCATGCGAGCTTTAGACGAGGTAGGCGGAATCTTTACAAAATGCAAATCATAGTTTGTGAATTAGAAGTCCATTGAGAAACATGATGATTGAGGTGTGAAAAAAAACTCCTTACAAAAAGTTAAAAATGATTAGATTGATTTTACAGGAGAAAAAAAAACTCCATTAAAATAATAACAGAAAAAAACGAGCAGGACTGGCCTGTAGGTGGCGATATATAACGGAATGTTGTCGGTCATCGTCAGGGTAGCAATAAATTCCAGCCTTGATGGGTACGAATGTGGGTCAGACAGGACTGGCTTGCATATGGCATTGTATACGGGATTCACAATTGAGATCGTCTGGGCCGGATTGGTACGCCGCGTCAAAGAGGCCAGACGAGACAAATCCAGATGCGGTCGGCCACAGCACGCTTCGAGCTCATCCGAGCAGTGAGGATGGGAGGTACGACCGAACTACTAGTAGACAGTGAATACTGAGGGTTCCGCCCTGAGCGTCGACAGACCGCATGAGGTCGGAATGCGGGAGATGATATCAAAAACCGCGAAAAATGTCACTATGGAGGAGGAGTTATAGCAGTGGATTTAGAAACCAATTCAAAAACAGGGTTTTCTAATTATATATTTAAGAGTTACCACTTAATCTACCACTAAATCCCAGGAGGACCCTTCTCGAAATCAAGAATCTGAGTGTTCGGGAATGAGACCGTTAACAGTGCCTTTATGCTTTCCGGTGTAAGATGGTTGCGTAATTTCGACTTGAATACCAGTAACTTAAGCAATGACCTACTTTCCGGCTAAAGATTATTAAAAAGGAAGGCATACTTGGAAGCAAAATGAGGGAGAGCTTAGATGTAGTACAAAGAGGCGGCGGAATCACCATGCAGGAGTTGCGCGTGGCATAAGACCGATCTCTCGGAGTGAGAGTGTCAATGAGCGGAAGACTGGAGCTAGAGTTGATGCGAAAAAGGAAGCAAAGTCCAGCTTCGAGTCTTCTAACCCACAAAAACTTATTGTTCGCCAGCTGACATCTCTGAGTATAAGAAATACTGGACGAAGCTTGAGAGAACAGTTTCCGGGTGAAAACACTCTGAACATTTTCGATTTTATTACGGTCGCAGGCGTTCATTAAACCGAAGAAAGCACAGCAATATTCGAGGACTGGAAGAACAACCATTTGATAAGGTCTTAGCTTCATTTCCGGAAGGAAAAAATATGCGATATGAATCCACATATCTGCGCGGCTTTGGCAGAGATTCTATTAGCATGAGGTGATAAACCAAGCTTATTTGTATAACTTAGACCTAGGGCCTTTATGGTGAGGCATTCTGAGAGTGGTTTGTTCTGAAAAATTATGGGACCAGGAAGTTTGGTAGGACCAAAAGACATGAAACTACACTTGGATGATGAAAACTCCATCTGCCATGTCGAACCCCATCTGCTTAAGCGTAGTAAATCGGCATTAATTTTTTCAACACAAACATTTGCGGTGTCCTTAGAGTATGAGTAAACACACTTGAGGCCATCGGCATAAGTAAAAGTTTGCGAATTTCCGAGTTCAGTCGAAATATCATTGATGTACAGAAGGAAGAGTAGCGGACCCAGGACCGCGCCTTGAAGTACGCCACTCGTGATCGAGTAAGGTGTCGAGTAGCTATTACCGACCATGACTTTCTGATATCGGTTGGATAGATAGGACCTAATGAAGTCGAGTAGAGGCGGCCGGATGCCGAGGGCTTCCAATTTTACTAAAAGACGTCTATGGGGCACCTTGTCAAAGGCTTTGCTAAGATCAAAGTAAAGACAGCCGCGCATTACGAAGAGAAGTGATTAGATTAAGAAAAGCCAAGTGGCATGTTTCGCAGGATCGTTCAGGTAAAAACCCATGCTGACTAGAGCTCAGAAGCCGATTAGCTAGACAGAAGTCAAGAATTTCATTGAAAATAATCCTTTCAAGAAGTTTTGCTAGAGACGGCGTTTTGTGCACGCCCCGATAGTTATTAACATCGGACCGAGATCCTGACTTGAA